TTCACATAACTCACTTACCTCTCCTTCATCTTCCGGAACGATCGGAACTACTAAGGGCAGATTCCATCCCTGATAGAGAAGATACCTAAGTCACAACATGTAACGCTTCATTCATGCAAAAGTGTTAATCACTCGTAGATTTGTGCCTATGTTTTTCTACCGTTTTACTTAATTCCTTTATTAGCGTTAGACTATCTAAATGATCAATATTCTTTTCCTTTCTTAAAGATTTTCTTATTTCTTTTTTGAAGATTTTTCCTCGAAGTGTACACCACATCATTAATTTTCTTCATAATTTTATATGGGCTTTTCCAATTACTCTTCAGCTTCAGCGTTCTGCCTCTTCTTGATTGAAAGTTGAACATATCTTCTGACCCTTTAATAAGCTTTTCTTCCTCAGTCTACGATTATACCAAGTATTCATGCTGCAAAACTTCATCTCTATCCGCTTCTTTATGATTCTACGGATTTCGTCTAGCTTCGTATTAAGCTTGGGGACATAAGTTTTAATGTGTATCTTCCTTTTCTATACGGATGGACAACAAAGAAAATCTAATAGCATTTTTATGTCATTTCTAGTTAACATTTTTGCTGAAATATTATGCTTTGCGGATCTATAAAATAAATAACACAATAGAATCCACTGATCCTAATCTTTCTGATCCTAACGAATTTTTCCAGATGATCAATCAAGTCCGTCTTGTTGCAAATATATCGCCGTCGACCTAATTATTTGGATTCCTAACAACTCCCAAACGCGTATCGTCAACTTCCTCTTTTTTCCTTTCAAATGAAAAATCCTCCAAGGAACTCATTTTATAGAGAATCGGTTAGGTCTATGATATGTTCAACAATTGCGCAATTTCTTGCGAATTCTTTTGAAAATTCTTGAAGGAATTTTGGAAAATCCTTTTCTTACTCTATCGAGAAATTCCTAGAATTTTTCTGAAGCACGTTATTCAAACTATTAATCAAATCTCATGAAACTATCACTACTGAACACGAACTTTGTAATACAACTCACCCCAAGAGCTCAATCAAATCTAACTTTCACAAAAGTCGCGCCTTAAAATGCAATCATCTGCAATATTCGTTATCACTAAGGAACAGTTTTCCTGAGAACTTCCCTGACTCCATCAAAATTTAAATAATCTGGAATGCTTACGAGTCACATTCTATCAGACCAAATGACCTGAGTCTAAGACAAAAATATACCCAATATTTATCGTCAAAAAAGTTTTGATGTATAGTAATGACTTATCAATTCTAAACCCGCTCGTAACAGTATATAACTATATTGATTATGGACATTCAAAATGGGATTTTATAATAATAGTAGAATATTTTTTCCAGTAATATACTAAAAAAATACCACAATACCCACAAGAGTTACTGTGAAGACGAATGTGTGTAGTTGTATTGTATGCAAATATGTATGTGTATATATATGTATATTTTTTCAACAAATGTCTGTTGAAAGTCTGTAATCGAAAAGTAAGCATCCAAAAAATAATATATTCTTTCAATTGAAAGTCTACAGCTAATAAAAAAAAGGTAAACTTTGCGCTAACTGTTTGCAATAGCAAAAAGAAAGAACACAATATTATTTCATAAATCATCTAGTAGTAAAGAAGAAACCTATGGGTTTCACAAAAATTTGCATAGTAATGATAGGAAAGAATTTAGATTTTTCCAAAAAGAAAAACAAAAAGAAAGAGTTATCTCTTTGAGGCACGGCAAGATTAAAAGTGTCCCACCTTTTTGATGTATTTCACGGCATAGTGGGACATTTTTTGTCCCACCTCGAAATCTTGTAGCTGTATGTGCATAGGTTTATATTTCGCCTTATTTATATAAAGCAGTTGGTAATGTCTTCAAACAATGTTACAAATGTATTCCTTATGTTGGCAACATTCAACAGGCAGTTACCGGTTGACCAATTGTTATACGAAATGTTTATTTCACCAACTTTTGTTTCTTAGTTTCATATAAAAAATCGCAGAGGTACGTTAATTTTTATAAAAATTAGTTTTTTATAAGCGAGGAACGAGTTTTATAATAAAAATCAATGGTTAATTTGATTGCAAATGATGAAAGTATGGTGGGATTATATGGGATGTCCCACCATGCAACCTGTGGAGCAACACAAAAAAGTAATTTTTCTTTATTGTTTATGTTGTATATTCGTAAAACTATAAATATAAATGTGGTTTGAATATAGTGCAGGTAATTTAAAGGACAATGTGCCGAAGGATTTATTAGTCAAACATTTATAGATAATGGCGCACTAATTAAGTGTATCAATAACTTATTATCAGTCCAAATATGGAAATACAAACCTAACGTTTCATTAGAAATAAGAAAGCGAGATTCAAATCATTTAACAGAACGTTCGTCTCGTAAACGACGTGCACTTTGTAGTACAAAAAAGGGGGTTCGAAAATTCTGGTCTTGTACTGTGTGCAAAGTGTCCCTGTGCGTGGGAAAAAATATGCGTTTTAACAAGTACCATACATAAACTCTTTAAGGCACGGTAGGAATATTTGAGCAGCACCCAATAACAACAAATTTAATCAACTATTAATATTTTGTTCTTTTTACATGATGTTATACCTTTATTAATGTAAATATACCAATTTTGTTTCATTTAAAACGATAAAATTCCTGTGCAACATGGGTCTACTTTTTATATGAAATCCTGTGCCTCAAAGAAATAAAAGATTGATAATTAAGTAATATATTCCAAATAAAACCCATAAATAGGGAATAAAATAATTTAACTTATGCTCTCCTAAAGGATATATATGGATATAATAAGGATCTATAGTGAAAAGCCAACTACATTTTGTGACAATACAATAGGACACCCCTAAATTTTCTATATTTCTCAAGTCCCATAGTATTAACATAGTGATATCAGAGGAACTGGATTGGCATGTAATGTATGTCTGCAACTTACAGGAGAGTTTATCAACCAGGGATGAACATTATACATTGATAATTTCAATACCTACTATGAATTAACTATATCGTGTCGTCTAAAACAGAAGACTCACATAGTTGAAACAATTAAAAATAATAAAAAATTCATTCGAAGACATTTTTCAACATACCAATGAGTTACTGGTATGTGAGTCATCTTCAACAGCTGCGTCAAAAGGCATAAAAATCTGTCGTGGTGTATTCTGGATCGTTAGAAACTGCAGTAGTAATACCTATACTTACGAAAGTTCCTGCGAGAATTCTTACGACCATAATCGGGAACGGATTCGCACTTAGAATAATTTTACTCGCGTAAAAGTTTCCATCCGCACATCCACGGCTTATCACTCCTCTTTAAGAAAACAGACTCTGAAGAGAGTTTTTTCTTCGAAGAAATCTTCACGTTCGCAGGAGTTTGAATTCTGCAGCTGCACATGGATTGGTTCAGCAGTAATTACAGAAGAGATTCATCAGTTTGTACAACAGATACAATTAGATATCCTAAAAATCTTAAGTTCAAAAACAAGACACAGGCTTCGCCTTAATCACTTTAGGAACTAAAAGAAAGCTTGCAGCAGTGCCCGCTCAAAAATAGCGAATGAGTCCTTAGAAAACTTGATTAAGAAATTAATCAAGTATGGCAAATAACAAATTCAGTCATTTATATGTCTCTGTTTAAGGATCGATGAACGCCACCGGCTTTTTAATTTTAGAACTCTGTTTCTTCAATGGTTTTTACGAGACGTGAAAGAAAAGCATTGGAATGAGCAGGAAAGGAAGATATCGGCTTAAATGTCCAGACTAAAAAAGTAAACTACATAAAAATACCCAATCCTAATCGGTGAGTCGTAGTAATAGGATGAATAACTTATTTAATCTATAGTGAGCCAACTTACAAGAACTAGTCACACTTTGGTATACAAAACAACATAAAGAAAAGTCGTAGAAGCAACTTAACATGTCATAAAACTTCATTAAAATCAGATGATTAATGACATCTATTGAAATAGCAGCGAGTATAGTTTGCGAAACAATAACTGGATATTTCCAACAGATGCATCTACGTCACATGCTACTCAATACAAGTGACAAAATTGTGCTCTGTATGATGCATCCGAGCCCATTTAAAAGGAGAGTGGTTATCTTCTTTCATGAATATCACGAGATGGCAACTGAGTGCTGCGTTGTTGTAACATGTGGAGATATTCCTGATATCAGCTAACGACCAAGAGACTCTTCGACGATGTCAGCTTTGCTTAAAGTGTCATCGACGTAAATATCTTAAGACCACACTTTCGCGAACTCTGGATGAATGGCTTTTTCATCCTAGGTCGAACATACGAAGAACCAAAAAGATAGTAGAAGAAATACAGTATTTGATGATGTTCACTCGGTTATATCATTACCGAAAATAGCCATATGAAACAAAGAGTTAATAGTTCCGTTGGCTTAACACTGTTACATTTTACGTACATTTATTTTTTTCACTGCTCACGCTTAATATTTTTATAAATTACATATTCGTGATATATATTTATAACTCCATACACGTGATTGTTCTAATAAAAAAACAATGTCATGATCTGCCATTTGAATTCCCGAATCTATGCATCACTGTCTTTTCTTCGTTCATGTTTTGGTACTTCGATATCGAAATATCGTAATATCAAATGATATCAGGAAAATGAATGCTCCATTTCACAACGAATATCGTGAGCATACATAAGAAAAAGAAGAGTCAATTAAATGCATCATTAATTAATAATACAATTAAATTGTATCACCCTAATCGATAATATAAAATTCTACTTTAAGCTAATAAAATAGGTAAACATATTAAGAAAAAAAATGAAAACATTTAAAAATGTACTACTTTTGAGCAAATCCAAAAAAGGAATTGTTTAAGGTCATGTTCGTTAATAATTGATTGAAAAAATTACAACCAGTAACTCGTACCGATCTGGATTTTTTGTTCTCAACATAATAAGTACTAAAGAAATACAATTATGTTCACCTACTTACTTAAGAAATTCCACGGTCCAAAACATTCATCCTTATTGTAGGTTGAAATCAGAGTAGATTGACTCGTAATAAGTCAAAAATAAGATATATTTACATCAAAGTAAATTGAAAATGAAGTAGGTTGAAGTTGCAGTAGATTGACTTGGTAAATTGATTTGAGAATGCAATGATGATATGAAAACAGATTGAAAAAGAAATTGATATTAAATTTTTTGTAATAAAATGAATTGTAAAATTATATGACTATAAAATTTCAACATTTACCTACTGCTATTGTTCTATAGAAGAAATATACTAGCTTCTTGATCGTCTTCCATGGTGCATTGCCTCTAATACGCGATAATTATTTATTGATCAAGAGACACCAAAAATTTAATTCAATTGGATGTTTCACATATAAAGTATAGTCTATCGAACTGTAAAAAAACGAAATAGAAACATTAATAAAACTTTATATGAACAAACATTGACTTAATGCACAATCTATTCAAATACACATGATTTGTGCACAATCTATTCAAATACACATGCTTCTAAAATTTAATTGAAATCATAAAATACAAACGAATGCAAATTGACAATAAAACTCTAAATGGATTTCAGTTCTTTTATTTTATCGAAACAAAGATTGATTCATCCATGCATGACTCCAATTGTGCAATAATAATCTGAAATAAAATACAAACAATATCATTAGTATCAATAAAAAAGAATCATTAAAAAATATAGACAGATAATATGAGGTTACTAATGAGTTTTTACTAATATAAAGTAACAATGAAATAAACAAAAACATTACAAAAAAGATTTAATAAACATTAACTATTACCTACAATTTTTTAACTTATTAATATTAAATATTACCTAAAACAGAACAACTTCTCCTCCATTAGCTGCATGATCAAAAACCGTGTCAATCTAGTCATAATTCCATGCTCCGCGTTCATCAAAACAATGCTTAAGAATTATGCCTGTTTTCATTATTGATCTCAATACTGTTTTTCATATTTTTCGCGACGAAAATGTTTCATACAGTAACACCTGCAAAAAAGAAAAAGTTCATATCCCCATTACTGAGACCCAATAATGGAGGGCATCTTCTTCCACCTTAACTCAACAAATAGGTGTATATAGAGCCATATCTCAAACTACCAATAGCCTATCCTTAACCGACAAAATATTAATAACGTTTATAGTGGTAATGATTTTAAAATAAAAGTACATAGCTTATAATAAATCACAATTATTAATAAATTAATAATTAATTTATTATTAATAATATTATTTATAATTAATAATATTATTTATCTATGTAACAAAAAGCTAAGTATTTTCCAAAGTAGGTATCCTATTACTTTGCAACAAAAATTATTTAATCCTATCCCACGGCACAATCATTCATGAATTCATGTATGGACAAATTTCCTAAAAAAAAAGCATACTAACTAAAATAAAATAATATATATTCTTATACCAGAATTTATTCGCAAATTTTTAATAGATACACAACATATCTTCAGTTACATACGAAAAATAGTAAAAAAAGACATTGTATGTAAGAGGTTGTCTATTCGTATTATATTATGTATTAAAAATTATTCGTAGCAAATGCTTCTAAAATTTAATAAAATTATGTATTATAACGTAAAATAAAAGAGCTTTATGCATAAAAATAAAGCTTTTTTAAATATTCAAAAAATCGGTATCGTAGATAAAACCTTCCTCCTTAAAATAAAACCGCGTTTATAAATATCAATTAAAAATTACTCTTGTTCTCATTATTGTTATAAATGCTGTTTTCCATATTGTTCACGAAGAGAAAGTTTCGTACAGTGATTACCCTCCAAATCTGTGGCAAAAAAGAAAAAGTTCATATTCCCATTACTAATTTTCATAGATATTGTTAAATTTAAGAAAAAATTGTATTTCATTTTATATTTTATAAACTAGAAATGAAGATATTTTATAAGTAATGTGTAGCATATTAGTAAGCGTCTCAATTCGTAATTCAGGAATCATAGTTATGAAGGTAATGATACCGTTGGTACCTTTTTTGATTTTATCAATAAAAATAATTAATAACTTTATTTACTTTTGCTTATTTGATAATTTAATTAGATATTAATATCCAATCTCTTATATTTATTTCTCCTAATTGACGCGAGTTTCGCGATAACCTATTCTATATAGAACAAAGGCAGCAATACAATTTTGCTAGATGACAAATATATATAAAATATATATATACATTCATCGATTATTTTTTTTAATGTAATAATTAGTGAAAATATATACTTATATATTATATTTTTCTCTAGCATAGATTATTATGAGGCTTTTTTGGTATATCATCACCAAAAAAGATATAAGAAAATTCAACAGAAAATATGATGTAATAATTTCACGATCTAGATGGCAATTTCATTTTCGCAAATATTTTTCAAACGCAACATTTTCCACATTTGCGAACATTACACTATAGAAAGTTCATGTTTTACTATTAATATATTGGACGAAATTGTAACTTAGAAAAGAGAAGTTAATTACCTGTAAATAGAAGGACAATGAAGCCACGTGAAAAGCTGTTGGCGCAGGCGAATCCAAAATGAGATCAATGGTAGGGAAATCGGTAGAGAATTGTACTTTTAGTGGAATTCATCTGGCAACAGCGGAAAAGATGTTCTCAACCTTGTTCTCAACCTTACGATAATAAATAAATACGAAAATACAATGAATCAAATAATAAATAAATCTGTGCAATAAATTTGAATCCGTTCCATAAATATTAAAAAAAAACAATATTTATCTCTATCTATTCATTGTTATCTATAAATCTCCAATAATATAGAATTTATAATTAAAATGAAATATCAGGAAGCGTTAGAAATCAAGAATCATTGGAAATGTTCGGTCAGTGTTTAGAAAGAAGAAATTTGCGGCGAAGAAATAATTTTGAATAAATAATGGTATAAAAAACTAATTGACAGTGAAGGTTTTTACAATAAACCTTCATTATATATATATATATATTGAGTTGGCAACTAAGTGATTGCGGATTTTGTCGTTTCCTTCTTATTTGAAATCCGGCAATCACTTAGTTGCCAACCCAATATATATATATTTGTCTTGATCATTAATTGTCTTGCTGATAGGGAGGGAAGGAGGGGGAAGAGGAAGAAAGGGAAAGTAATTGTTTTCCTAAATTAATATTTAAGTACATGCTTAAAATAGAAACTTATAGATAACAACAAAAAAAAAAAGCAGAATATAATTTTCAAATAACAAAATTTAACTTACAGTACTAATCGTATATATAAAACTAGCTCTCTTCTTGATACGTCACATTCGTCAACAGATATTAGAACATCCTTCCAAAAATATATGTAGTAAATAAGTCTTGACATTATTTCCTTTTCTCTGTTTATTCCCATCTACTTTAAAATCTCTCTTTGTATTGTACGTATAGCAGAACAAAGAACTAATAACCTTACAAAATGTTTTTATTTATTTACTCAAGTCTATTGTTCGACTTGTGCTTGAATATTTCCTTTTTACCTTATTCCTCGTTACCTTACATATTTACATGCACATATGTTTACATAGAGAATAACTTTTAAATGAAAACAAGTAATTATTTACACTATTTATGAATGTATGGAAAAAATGTGCAGAACAAGTCACCTTTCAAAGAACACCTATTATGATGGAAAGAATTTTTTCTAAAGGTTTAATTTTTTTAAGAAATTTCAAGATCATAAATATTTTATTAAATCTACGACTGGTTTATATAAATTGATTTCTCTTCCCATTCTGAATAAAAAAGTATTAAACTACAATGTCGGAAAATGATTAGTTTGCGAGATACTTTGAAAAAATTATTTATGGTAGACAACATAGTCACAATCATACATACGAATGATGAAAAATATAGAAAAATTAATTATATATCAATATAGGAATATTAATTCCCTCTCTCTCTCTCTCTCTCTCACTCTCTCTCTCTCTCACTCTCTCTCTCTCTCTCACACTCTTTCTCTCTACCCCCATCACACACCGATATATATATACACAAACAAACACATATATACTCAGAGATTAATTTTACCTCTTTGGTTGTATTTAACAACAAAAATAATTACGTAATACATATCTCTATATACTTTAGCATTTTCAAAGTATAATTTTATAAATTTGAGAATCTTCTTTTGTCAATATCAATCTATTATAATGGGTTATAGCCATTGTTGGAAGTTTTGGAAAGTACGGTAAATTGAATTTGTAATTTTTACTTCGTAATATTACAATTAAAGAGTTTTTTATCAGATTATTTTTTATTAGACCCAAAACAAATAGTAATTCTTAATAAAAGCTATCCCATTTCAATAAACAACTTAAAAATCTTACACCAAAAGAAAAATTATGACGACTTCGATAGCGTTAGAGCATGGTGAAATTAATAGTTACTATTACAGTGTCGTTTAAGTCAATTATTTTTCACTAAGCAAAATAAAAATCTTTCTATAATACACGTATATATATGATATATGGATATACATATATACGAATGTATATAATACGACTAATCATATAAGTTTACATCATATCTAGATATAATAATATTTAGAAGTAAACAAGTCACAAGAATCTTAAAATGTCTTTAACACGACTTCTAAATACACAATGGGCTGACAAATGACAATCAAATATAGACATGCACAGAAACAACTTTCCGGTCCACCTAATAGTAACATTTCACTACGGGAAAAAAACAATTCTAAGTACTTTAGTAGAAGTACTTTAAGTAAATAGAAGACTTAGAAAAGAAGAGAGATTTATTAAAATACTTCAATAATGATACTTTAAGTAAATAAGGACTTAGAGAAAAAAAAATATTTTTTTTAATTATTAAGTATTTGATACTGCAAGCACTCCACTATTTATTTGAAGGAGTTTCATCAAGGCTCTATTTTCGCGGTCACGTTCCTATGGCGAATCTTTGAGAAATTTTTGAAATTTCAAAAATATCGGAAAATTTTATTTCCTTTACCACGGGCGACAAGGTCTGTAGAGCCGTGCCTGAAGCCTCTGGCAACAAGGTCTGCAGAGCCATGCCAGAAGTTCCGTACGTTTCCCGCGCTTTTATGATTTGAGGTTATGAGTGACGTATGTGCGCCAACTGTCGAAAAACAAATAATGTGCACTCCTAACACTACACATTGTTGTTGTCCAATCCAACAGCCAATCACAGTACGGTGTGAACTCGTTGCAAATCCACTTCCATCTTGCAACAGAAATTATCAGTTGAATCCGCCGTTCGTCCATAGAATATAAAATGCCACTCCCGAGAAAAAGCACATAATCTCCACAAAACTACTGAGCACATTTTACACTAATTACAAAGTAATTAATCAATCCCCAATTTTGATTATTATCTCACATTGTTCACCGCACTCCAATTAACGCGTGAGATATAATTTTTTCACAGGCAAAATAAAGTAAACTGGAAAAATTTTCACAAAACGCGGAGCACACGGCAACGTATACGTCCCGTATCGTAGCCATGATGGAACAGTCTAGAGTAAAGGTGAACACCCGTAGAGTGCCGCCTGCACCTACGCTACCTCGCCCATTACGGCATACGCTACGAAACCACCTAAAGACAACAGCCACCACAGCGAACTGACCGGATTCGGAAAAACCCAAAACTTCTGCCGGCGGGATAAAGTGAGCGGTTTAGACACATCCTCTCAGCGACCAACATCCTCGCAGCAACGAATCACCACGCTGATGCTGCTTGTGCCCACGGGGAACCACGGAAAGGCCCGCTCACAGTGCCACGATCCTTGCCACTCGTTCCGTAGGATAGGATGGGATTGGTAGAATAGCAGGTATCAGAGAGAGTATTGGGTTGTAGTGAGAAGAAAAAAAAATAGGGTAACACATGCGAGTATCTCCGACCCTATCCTGTTCGAGAATGAGTTAACCTGGAAAAATTATAGGCACCAACCCTCATCACCAGAACTCCGACAATCCCAGCTGAACAGGATTTATGAACTAATTACCCCTAATACAGATGTTAATACAGTTTCTCTACAAAACCGCGAAGAGGGAAAGGGCCTCAGTCGTGAAGACAAAATATCTCGCTGTTTCTGGCCACCTTTCGCGGAATATTTCTTCCAGAGCAACTTTCTGAGGTTCGAAAACCGGACATTCGAAGATGTTATCCGAAACCGTGTCCTCTTCGCCACACTCGTATGTTCCATCCGTGATGAGGTTCAGCGAGTTTAACCTTGTTAGCCCCATATTAGTTTTACCTTGAAAGCCCCATGACCTGAAAGAAATTGTGTTGAAAAGTGATTTTTCTCTCGTCAACAATCAACAGATATGTTTCCTTTAGGCTTACTAAATGTTTCTTGTGTTCCTCTATGAGCTATCGCTATCACTGCTTTCCATATCATCCAATTTCTATTATTCCCTATTTATTAAAAACATTAACATAATTTAGAATCAGATATATATATAGAATAGGATCTACATATATAAGATAATATATAAACATCTGTTTTTTCATTCCGCCAATCGTTACTAACAACCAATGGCTCCAAAATCTTGTTTAAAATATTCATCCTTCAAAATTTTTCTCTCATATTTTTTTCATTTTGTAACAGATATATTTGAATATTTTATTCCTTTCGTCTTCTTTATTTTCATTGTATATAATTACAAGTAAATATACAAATAATTAATTAATAATATAATAATCGTTGATATTTTTAAATAATTTAAAAAGAAATAAGTATATGTAATTTTTCGTTTTACCTAAATGTTATATATAACTTTTTTTTAATTATACTATTTACTTTAAAAATATAAGTTATTAGTATTTGACAGCTACAAGGATAATCTATTAACACTGAATAATCATTATAATAGGTAGATAAAATATTAACTTAGATCTAAAGAAAGTACTATAAAAAAACTCATGAGAATTAGCTTAATGATTTTCACCAATCATATAATCATATTATCGATGGACATGTTTGCAAATTATGTTAGATTACATTTCAATGAGTTTCGTATCTAGACCTCGCTATACTACAATCATGTTTATAAGTAAAAGAAATCGATTTTCTAATAAACTATGCATGTTAATAAGCATTCGAAACATTGAAAATTTTTGACAATTAAATTAATAGAAATCTATGTAGTATGTAAACGCAAAATAATCGTAATGATATGAAAATGTGAATAATTAAATGTAACTGTGAATAATAGATTTCAAAGCCGCCTACAAGAAAAATCTAACAGAATACTATTTTATTCGTATATTTTCCATTTATTTTTATATATACATATATTCTACACCTTTTTTTCTAATTAAAATATTTATTATTACAAGTATTGGTCACAATTACAAGTACAATAATCATGGAAACTAATAAGTAGATGTAATTCTATACTGTTAATGATTTCCTATTTTTGAGCATGATAGGGGGATACTGTAAATGCAGTATTCTAATCAACATGAGGAATGATACTTGGATCAGTCATGGGATTTAGTAAATTTAACAAACATCTTGATAAATGGAATGTACAATGTAACAATGAAAGTTTGGAAATCAACAAGTATCTGTAATTGTCAACCAACGAGTATCAGGAATTGCCGGTTAAGATTAACAAAGTTCTGTAGAACTGGAACGAAGTTAACTCCGTGTAGAAAACATATAAGTGGAAAGAAGAAAGTGGACGTCGAACAGGAGAATAGTAATTCATGGATGTTTTCAAAAAACTGGTTGTTATCCATTGTGGGTAAGCTATAGCATGATAAGCAAGTTGTCATAGAACACAATATTTGTATGATAATGATGGATATGGCGGAGGCTACATAATCAATTGTACAGCCTAGTGAGAAGATCGATAAAAGGGCATAAAAGCAAGCCTAGTTTAGGTAAAAGAGTTTTAGATGATTAGAACTCCAGTGTGATGTTCTGCTCTATTAAACAATCGAGGGTGAATTTAGACATAGACTTATTAGTAGAAGAAGCTCTCTCAACTATTTGAAATACACAATTTAGACTACATTAGAAATTATAGAAAATATAGTCCTTTAATATCTTTTTAAATTGGTCGAGCCTTTAGCGTTGTTTTATATCGGCTGGTATTATATATTTTAACTCCTTCATAAAACATACTCTATCACGCACTCCTATTTCTGCGAAATTGTATTACAATGTTTCTGGTATGTCGTATGTGTTTTCTGTTTCCTTTTCCCACTATTTCTATTCTTTTTCTTAATTGTTCAGTTAACAAATTTCTCAAGATCATGAAAATACATAGACACATGTTGTAATATACTCTCATTTCCCGATTTTGCATTACTTGCAATTTATTCAGCTGTGTCTCTCTCATATCCATTAACAATGTTACAATATTCTGTGCTATGATCGCTTTATACGTGATACATTTAGTAGTTGCCAATATATAATTTCCTGTTCCATTCAAAAAACTAGTTTTCTTACCTATCTTTTTTAACATACAATCGCAATAACCTTTAAATCTAAGCTTACCATCTATTCCTAAGTATTTCATTATCTCTACACGTCACAATTTCATTATATCTCGGTTTCATCAAAGCATTTCAATATAATATTTCCATCCAGCTCTTTTCTTATACTCCTATAATATATTCCGTCTTTTCTGCATTCATTCTCAATTTATATATATTCTTCCATTCTTCTACTGTATTAAATGCTTTATTCATTTCTGTCTCTAACTGTATACTACTTTTTCCAATAACATAAATTAATGTATTATCCGTAAACATTTTTATACTATATCATTCAGAGAATATTTCAATGAATGACAAGAGTCCCGATACAAATCCTTGGGGCACTCCATATTCTATGTTAATTAATTCAGACCATTTATCGTTGAAACCAATCTGCTGCGTTCTATTATTTAAATCATTCTAAAACAATACCTCTAAAATTATATTGATATAAATTTTCTATTAATCTCTTTCTATCTACTATTTCAAACATTCACTTAAGATTCATAGAAATAACATCCATAATTGTTCTCTAGCTAACTATTAATTTCCATTCATCAACAACAGTTTGAATCCAACCATTTCACACGAATATTGTTTTCTTACATCTAATCAATGTTCCGTTATAATACCATTAAATTCAAAATACATTTATATTTGCTTCTTCATCACTAATTCTAACACTTTCTCATATATTGGTAATCGATCTATAATAATTTGCTTTTTAGCTTTTTCTATTTGTGGAATCGGTCAGTCTTCTGAAATGATATTTGACTAAAAAAAATAAGAATTCCGATGATGAAAAGAAAACTCTCTTCTACGGAAATGCAATATATTCTAATAAATGAAAAGTAAATTAATATTGGTACACTAGGATGTAATCGTTATTCGACTGGTAGACGCTGACTACCTTTTTAGGACTTCTTTTCTTTTGTCCGATCTTTGTCTTGACGTGAAACACTCGATCGCTATTCGGCTATTTACATTATTGGGCTGCTGCCTTACATTCCCCTTGCATACGTTATCACACTCGCATCACACTCTCTATTTTATATTTATATAAATATTTCATATTTACCAGTTCAACTCAGCGATTCATTTGCTGAATTATAAACTTTATGAAAATTGTGGCAACTCGGATGAAAAATGTTCTACAATGTATGCAATTAATCAGCTGGGATTTTATTTCCTTTCTACACTGCCTACATATCTGTATCCCAAACCGCGAGATATCCATTTCTCATTGTTAAATTTTTCCTTATCAACTATTAATTCGTATCACGTTAAACGTCATCAACAACAGCAGTGTTGCTCGATGAGTCAGTAAGAGAATTCTTTAAATTTTCGTCATCGCTTCGATTTTGTAGGATTTGATAAAAAGCCTATTGCAGGATGCCTAGTTGGTTTTGCAGGATGCTAGACTGGCTAATAGAATGTTAAATGACTGGAATTCGACTGTGATGTTGTCTTCGATAAAAAAAAGTTAGGGAAGAAATGGACTTGATGGAAGAAGAAGCGATGACTTCGATAATAGGAGACTCTGGTGGTTTTAGCCATTTCAAACATCCATTGGAATATGATGCTTCATTCAATAGAACTCTAGGTGGGAATGGATGACTGATGCCAAGAATCTGGTATGGGATGCTATAGATCTGTCCCAAATAATATGAGTAGGGTAAGTTACTGACCATTTTGCAAGTAGGCAAGATTTTGCTATCGGCAGAACTTTGAGACAGACATAAATAATTAGGAACACTGTTCCACTAAAGGGAGGATACTCCCAGGACAACCAGGGAGGTCAACATATGAGTACTGAGGCGGTTACAAAATATCAACTATATGGGCGGATTCAAACTGTTTTGGAGACGTTAAAGTTATATTCCACCCAGGCAGTGGATACTATGGGTTTGTTGAGTATTACTTAGTGTCTATGACATCAAAAAGGTTGAAAACGTATTTTACGTCCAGCCTATTCGAATAAGAACAAATTGTAATGTGAATATAGCATTAGTAATAATAGGTACAACGTTTTGTAATATTGTCAGTAGATAGCGGAGAGTATTTGGTAGATGAAATCAAGAATACCAGCTTTTAACTTAAAAGACAAGCTAGCGGTAGAAGCTTCTTGTTTAGATCTATTTTCTAAATTGAAGAAGAGCGATAAGATACTGCATGGCTATGACCAATGAAGGAGTTCGCATTAATAAGGAGATACCGTTTTGTCAGTTAAGCGACGGAGATGATGGAATCTGTAATGATCACCACAAAAGATTGGGCAAAGGCTATAATCAATAACCTAAAAGAAGTATTGAGCTGGCAAAAGAAGAAGATCAGAAATGGAGAAAATTCAGATGTCTACGTGTAGGGAAGCTTCATACAATGATATTAATTATTGTAGCTACGAACGTGTAAACATTAAAAATAAAATTTTGTGTTTATCAACAAACCCCCTAAGTGATATTTTATCAAAAATGAGACTAACTACCAAAGTGGGCATATCAATTTGGGAATGACAAAACGACAATATCTTGGAAATAAAGAAGTCCAAGTAACTTAGCCATTTGTTAGTGTATCCTCACATACGCAGTATAAGATATTAATGTATCAACTTGTTAAGCATGACGGGATATGGAAAGATTAGATAGCCATAGGAGAAGGGCCAGAATTCCATAGGAGGTAGGAGTGCAGAATTGTTTAAAAATAGTTGCAGCTGTTGGAAAATGTGTATGGCGTAAATAATTTAGATAAATAAAAGGTTTAATAGCTTATAAGAAAGAAACGTGTGAAATGTTATTTTTAAGCAAAATAACATCATTAATAGTATATGCAGGATTAATATTAGAGAGTACTTTACTTTAATATATAAAATTATAATATTGTTAGAAGTGTATCAGCCTAGTATTCTGATTCGGGAAACGTATATACAAAGCATTTCTGCAGATATGTTGTAACGTGAAAGGATGTTAATATTGAAGGTTAGCGTTTGATTGTGGAGATGAAAGACGCAAGCGAGTATGTGAAGCTTTGGTAAACGATGGTCTGAAGAGAAAGAGTGAATAGGTTTCTTGAGTAGCGTAAGAAATAGTATAGATTTAGTGAATAAGAATAATGTTACACCGAAAAGAGAAAAGGAGGAGAGGGAAAGAGAGAGAGAGAGAAAGCGAGAAGAGAGAAAGAAAGTGAGAGAGAGAGAGAGAGAGAGCGAGGATAATTCTCTTCAATATTCTAATCTTTTAAACCCTTTCGCTCCGACGCCTTCGAAGAAGGACCATTTATGTACGAAGAGCGTATATATACGTTCTGAAAAAGTGGGCACTCGGGTACGAAGAGCGTACATATACGTTCATACTATATATACTTTGATTTCATACTTTACATGAGATACTTTTGTTAATTAATACTTTTGAGATGTTTTTATCTATTTCGCAATATTTGTATAGATGAAAGCTTAACGTTTTATTTAAAGGCCGGTTATCATTCAAACAATTCATTCCTGCTAAACGAAACAGATTCGGCATAAAGTCTTATGTATTATGCGACTTTTTGTCAGGCTACATTTAAAATTTTATTGTATATACAAGAAAAACTACAGATTCCGACGGACAGTCCAATGACAATTTAGGAAAATCAGGAAATGTCGTTATGATACTGTTAGAACTATATCTTCAACAAGGCCATACGGTATTTGTCGATAATTAGGTATGCAAGCCCCGCTTTATTTGCAAAATTACAACATCATAAAACAAATGCTTGCGGAACAGTAAAAAAAACCGTAAAAATATGCTCGTAATTTCCAATCATTTAAAAAGAGGCGAGATGTCATTCCGTTCGTGCAATAATTTATTAGCAAAATTAAAATGGCATAACAAACGAGATGTTTGGATGATAAAAACTTGCCAATTGGCAGACATCGTTGATACAACTAAGATAGATTATCATACAGGATTGCCAATACAAAAACTGACCTGCGTCATTGATTATAATGCCAATATGGGAGCCGTTGACAAAATTGATATGGTTTTAAAATCTGTTGAATGTAGTCGTAAAAGTTTAAAATAGTACAAAAAAAATTTTTTTCACGTGCTAAACATGGTTGTGTGGAATGCATATTGTTTATTCCAATCAGCAACTGCGACAAAATAACCGTTGCCAAATTTCATTTAACTCTTATACGACAATTATTGCAAACATACGGGAAACAAAAATCAGATATGAAATGTTCAGTTGCACGAAATAATAATAATCCTGAAAGAGTTACTGAAAGGCATTTTCCGTCTATATATTCGAATGAGGCGTCAAAAAAAATCCAGTTCGAAAATATGTCGTCTGCAGTAAACGAGGAAAAGACGTGAGCCGAGATACTAATGTTCACAATGTAATGTTGGATTATGTGTGGTTCCATGCTTTAAAATTTACCATATCATAGTTGATTATTAATATTATGTTCGGCTTTAAATACTTTAGTAATTTTGTTGTATTAAAAAATATTACATGAACATTATAATAAAATATTAAAAAAAAATAAATTTTGATTATATTTATATTATATTTCAGAAAGTAAGATGATATTACTGAATATAATAAATGTCATTGTAAAATTTAGAGAACGAGAAACGACTTTTGATTATTTCGTAGCATTCCGTTCTTCAGTGTCAACTACTCAGTAATGCGGTCCGTTCACAGCGATCACATTGTGACGCAAGCGCTCCGTAGCGAAAGGTTTAATATTTAATATATAATCATCGTACATTGTGTGTGTACATATATGTATATATATGTGGGTGTTTGAGATTATTACTTGTCCCTTGCTCTCTTTCGTGTCCAGTTACGCTCTTTGCCTGTCGAAACATGTTCACGCGACGTCTTTGAATATCAACTCTCCACCCGGTTTCTTTTTGCTTTCTTTCTTTTGCGAAACCGTCACTTTAGTCTCTCCGCCCATTAGTCACGCTTTGTCTCTCTAAACTCGCATAGCGCCTAATTTCTCGTGAATCTACTTTCATTAAAATTATAATTTTTAATTAATGAAAAGTGAGCTTCCTGTGTTATTTATTTCACGTGGATATTATCCACATATAGAATATGGTCCTTCAAGCGATTATTGATGAATATCAGTAAAAAAAAATTGTGACAAACAACAGTAAACATTTTCATTCTCGCATGCAATACAGACTATCGATCGTGAGTGAGAATATGGTGAAGCATAATCCAAAGACATTATGGCTATATCCACCATTTTTTTCGCAAAATTGTCGACCTTAAAGCAATGCGTTAGACATACATTTGTGCGTAGTACAACACAATGTACGTTTTTATAATCACACATGTACCAAACATTGCTAGATTTTCAACGATAAGCGTTATGATATAAAATCGTCCCGCAACAGTAGCATGCATCGCACGAAGAAAAACACGTCGGCGTTGCGAAAAAACGTGTTCGGCGGTCACGGCGGTCGGTTCAATTTTCATTGGCGTTTGATAAATCTCCAAATTTTTATTCTCTTTTACTCAGTTATTCCTATATAATAGCTCTGTCTTGATATCATGTCGGAAGAAGACGTTAAAAGAGCAAAAGCAAAGCACAGTACGATTAAAGGCGTTCTCACAACAGCCGAAATATTTCTCGCTCGTTATTGTATGTAAATACCGTAATTCTCACGCAATTACATCAGCGTAAAACAAAAATAGACACAATGTGGGACAATTTTAATCAGGCTCAAATACAAATCAATTTGGCAAAAGAAGGTGCAATTTCGCAAGAAGCAAAGACAAATTTCGAAGAATCATATTTCAATATCATTTGTCGATTCGATGAGATCATAGCGATATAAGAGAGATCACAAGGAGAATAATGTAATGTGGGTCAAAATCACACTGATGGTGAAAATCAAAATCAAAATCATAATCAAAATCGAAATTCACAAAAAGAATATGTAAATAATAATTTGTGATTACCGAAGATTGAATTTCTAATGCTTTCAGGTCGTTACAAAAAATCATATCTATTTCACGAAACACTTCATTCGCTTATACCCAATGTAGAGCATATTCCGAGCATACAAAAATTTCATTATTTGAGATCTTCGCTTTATGGTGAAGCTGCTGAGATCATACCAGTTGCTCGTGGTTTCCGTGGATAATTATGTCGAGGTTTCGAGATGCATCGACAAATATATAGATAATAAATGATTGATCGTTCAAAAATACATAAAAGCGATTTTCGATTTCCCCTCCGTGTTTAAAAAAAATCACGCATGATTGCGATTGTCGATGATATGTCGAAGCACAAACGCGCCTTGAGAACCTTAGGCCGAGCGAGAATCGAATGGGATGATCACCTCGTGTATGTAATCACAAGTAAGCTCGACGTTGTCACAAATCGAGAATGGGAAAACAGCTTAAGGGAACCAGAAATCCCGACCTTGCAGGATTTAACAATTTTAAATTCATGAATCGCAGATGATATATGTTGAAAATTATTCAAAGAAAAGCGTCACAATCGTCTACTCCTTCAATCCTCAACAAACAATGACAAACAAAGCCGACTTCGCTCAACGTCACAAATCAAACTAACAAATGCCCCATTTCTAAGGACGAGCATTTCGAGATCATGTGCGAAACTTTACTGAAGATGCCAGTTCTACAAAAGCAGTCAAGGACAACAAACTGTGCCTGAATTGTTTACGATCTATCTTACATTGCACGAAAGATTGTCAAGTCGGTAGTTGCAAAACCTACTGCAACAGATACAACATGCTTATATATTCTTCCATTAATTACACAAGGCGATTTGGCAAAACCAATCGAAAGATTTGCATCATATTATATCGGCAGCCACACATACACTTCATGATCATGATAGGTCATAGGTCTGGTTGTCCACAACAATCATTCAGGTGTTGGACGTTGTAAAGACATTTCCGTTGATATTTGTTGGGCAGATTAAGGTCACCGAAGTTCATCCAATCCTTCAAAAAAATCTTTTCAATTGGGTATTGGACGGATTGACCGAGACGAGAACACAGACTGGAGCTCGCACCGATTTTTATCTCAATCTTATCACAAATCAACAGCTTAACATAATTTTCACGAAATTTGGGAAAGCGAGCAATGCCCACAGCGAGTTAATCGCACCACCGAGAAAAATCTTTGTGATTATTATTTTGTTCAAATTTATCACAGAGACGAGGATGGTCGTTTCGTAGTGCAGCTTCCGTTCCAGATGGATACGACTGGGCAGCTTGGCAATCTCAAGGGTACAGCATTGCGACGATTCAACGCATTGGATCGAAAGCTCGAAAAGAATGCGAAGTTAGGATTCAATTTTACGGAATGTCTTAGCGAGTATCAATGACTAAGTTACAGAAGTGAATCGAAGATCAAGATTTGTCGTCAGCGGAATATTATTTACCGCATCACCCAGTCAAAGAAACGTATTTCACAATAAAGTTACGTGTTGTGTTT